TTGCAGCAACTGACCAACCGTCCACCACACACTCAAACACACATTTCGAAAATGATTTATGAAAATCTTTAAATTGTTCGAAAGCACCGCAAAAGTTCTTTACTCACTGACTGACTGATGGTCTTGCAATAAATAATTGATTATTATTTATTTCAAGAACAATAAAATGCCATAAATTCTCTCATTGTTAGAAAGAGTTCAATAATAAGGGTTAAAGACTTCTTAATAATCCGTTTGCAATTTGTTATAGTTGCAAAAATTCGAAAGTATTATTAATGAGAAATAAACAGATGTGAATAAAATCAATCAATTTCAGCAGCATTTATTTATTTAATTTATCAAAAATTTAAGATAATCACATTGTAGTTCTATTAAGCAGTAACATGTCGCCAAATAGCAAAAAAATGTAAAACAAGTTCTTTTAATCTATAAATTTGGAAATCTTAAAAAAAACAAGTAAGCAAAGGCTACAGTCGAGCGGGGCCGACCGTTGAATACCCTACAACACTATAATAAACGATACAGTTTATATAGGCGAGATACTCGAAAGAATTCCACAAGATATTGTGACAAATAATAAAAGAAACCCATCAGGTTTCGTTCTCTAATTTTCGAATAATAGCAACTTGAGCTAATTTGCTCATTTCCAATTTATTGGTAGATGTCGCACGTAAATGGTCTTCCTAGATCTGGAACCAATATTTCCTAAAGACCTATAATCTCTCAGAAGTGGCAAAAGATTAACATTTATTATTGGTTTTTGACTGAAACGCATCTATATGAGATACAGACATTTGACTATATTCTTCAACGAAATCAGCGTTAACGAGTGTGCGTCTTTCCTGTATTTCTGAATTCTCCAAAAAGTCACTGGCATGGACATTTTCGTATTTTGTCTACAAAAGTTGGCAAACTATTTCACACACTGATTATTTTTGGATGGCCAACCAAAACTGCTTGGCTTTTGCAATGTCCGGTAAGCACCATTCAAATGTGCGTGAGGATCGGGCGATAACTACGACCTGCTGACAATTTTGTAGTTTTTTGGTCCATTTCAACCGCTAAATATATGGCGATCATCCCCAAAAAGACTAGGCTTCTATTCTGACCCTCATCTTATCCCCATGCAAAATTTCGTAAGGATCGGTCCATAAATGCGATCTGTATATGATATCTCAACTACTTAGTTTTGTTAGCTGTAGAAATATTACCAAATGTTTAATTCAAAATGAAAATATGCCAAAAATATGACAAAATTGAAAAAATATGAGAAAATTTTACAAAATCAATATTTTCATCTTTAGAGAGATATTTTTATGCGATTTTTTTAGACGTTTTTTCTTTCCTGCCAAGAGGCCATTCCGAATTAATGAGAACTGTCGAAATCAGTTCAGCCGTTCTCGACATATAAGAGATCTTTCAAGCATATCTCCTTTGATAGACATATATATCGCACATATTTCGCTATATATCCGATTTGTTGGATGTTACCATCAATGTAAAGGTCAGAAGTAACCTTGTCATGGCTTTGGGATTTCGCCGGGATTTAAAATATTCGCGGTTTAATGAAAAATTTTGAATTTTTTCAACAAAAAAGATATGGTCTATTTTACCCGCTAAATATTATCCGATGACCACCCGAATTGGTAGGCTTCTTCCCCGTCCTAAACTCTATCTACATGCGAAAATTCGCGTCGATTGGTCTATAATTGCGACCTGTATAGCTACTGCAAAATCCGACATTTCTTCAGTATTTCGTCCATTTTAACCCCTAAACATTTGGCGATTATCTCCAAAAGCAATAGGGTTCTATTCTGGTCCAAGCCCCACCTACATTCTAAATTTCGTGAAGATCGGGCCATAATTGCGACCTGTAGAGTGATTACAAATTAACATGGACAGACGGACAGACGGACAGACGGACGGACGGACATACATAGCTAGATCGACTCAGCTCGGCGAGCTAGGAAGATCCATATATACTTTCCTATGTGGGAAACCAATATTTCGAGGTGTTACATAATTTTTGGCCCAATCAAACTTATAATACCCCCAACACATAGTGTTGTAGGGTATAAAAACAGAAAAACAAATAAAAGGAGCTTCAATAGGTCAGAGTAGACCATGGGATATCCTACACTACTATATTAGCGGAAATAGCAATAATGTACTTTGTGTACCCTTAGATTATGATATTCTGAACTGTCTTATACTCTTATCAATCAAATTTTGAAGCCTTAAAGTGTGGAGTTCTGAAAATCTCCTTATTAAATATCAATATTTTGGCTTCTATAGATCGCTTAATAACATTGAAGACCAAATTTTTAAATTTTAGATCATATCGTGTCCTATTTCTGCCCGTATTCGAAATTTCAAAGTTTTAACTCTGATTCTGACCATAACAATATTTTAGCTTTTTATATTGTTCTCAGCCAGAAAGTAATATAAATCTTATCATAGGCTCCTAATGACTTAATTACAGCCAAAAGACATCGGAATGTCTCTTAAGAACATATGCATGTACAAGGTGGCGCAAAATTAAACTTGCGATGTTTTTTTGGCTGCAATTAAGACATTCGGGATCAATGGTAAAATGTATAGAATGTTCTGATAGGATTACTTTTGGGCCACCTTGTACAAATATCCGAATATCCTGCCTAACACCACCAAAGAGACACCACTTCGCAAATGTTCATAGCTATGGCGCTAATCGACAATGATGTACTCTCTGAAATTTAGAGTACAAAATTCCAAAAAATAAAAATAAAAAAAAAATAAATAAATAAAATAAATTAAAAAAAAAAATTATTTCAAGTTCTACTTCATATCGACCTATAAATAACTATATTACACAGTTTTGTAATAATGTTACTGGAAACGAAATATACCGGTAACGCTAAATTTCAAAATTCTATTACTTATAGATTTTTCAATAATAACTTGGTATAATTTTTAAGTTTTGTGATATATGGTATACACAACAACAAGAATTCGTACGCGCTAGATATCCATTTTTTCATATCTATACCCAAACAGAAGTTTGGACAACCCGCTAATTTGATAAAAACAATTGTTAAAACTTTTACTGGATGAGATGTAAAAACTGCAACCAACTTAAGACTGAGCAACATGCGGGCAGCGTGTGACGGTTTAATTGGCCGTTTGAAGGCCACAATTCATGCCAAAGGTGACAAATTCGAACAAATCTAAACTTATTCTAACATTTGAAGCTATGTCCGACATTTTTTTGCTTTCATTCAATAAAATTTAAAAAATAAGAAAATGTAAAAATTGTGGGCTTTGACTTTGTTGCAGTTTTTTTTTTTTATCTCACCAATTTTTGTACAGTAGATCATATTACCTATGGTCGAAACTTGTGATGTGCTGTGGATTTAGAGTTGCTTAAGTTTGAAATCGGATGAAACCAAAATACATATTTTTATGTCGCATGTGACCTCTCATACAAACCATAATTGCTATAAAAAATATATAAATTAAAATTTTATTACTTTTGAATCATTTTCATCCACGTTAATATTACACGTTTGATATCTAAATCTGAAAATATCTCATTTTGGCCTGAGTATTTTTAAACTGATATCTTGTACAGAGTATCATTATTTTTGAGTGCATATTATATAAGCTATGTAAATATAATAGGGTTCGTCCTAGACAGCACAAAAAACAAATTTGTGCACTTCGCTTAAAAAAAAACAGCAAGGACATACGGGCGGACATGTATAATTGAACCTAGAATTTAATTCATCAAAAAGAACTAGGGTTTGGCGATATCGTTCTAAAATTTTGGCTTTTTGGATAATTTTTCATATACTCAAAGGAAGTACCGCCTTAAACTTAAAACGTTTTTTAATATTTAAAAATATTTGGTGTTTAGTAAGGTTTTGACTTTGTTTTCAAGGACCTATTGCAGAATTGTGTGTCAAATAATTTTGCTCCGAGATCGTAGCAAGGATCCTGTTTTAAGGGAGCTATTAGTCATATTTTGAAGAAAGGACCAAAAACACCCTACCAATGAATCAATTTAATTATTTACAACCAAAACAATCCTCATATTGTTACAAATAAAGAAATCTCAATCCAAAATTTCCTGTAAACATTCGAAAATCGTGTTTTTTAATTTTTAGCTCTACTTTTGAAATATTGTTAAGTTGTGTGTTTTACAGTATTGTTATAATCAATTGCTTTCTGAATGAAAGAGCTTGTTGCAATTTAATATTATCTCAATTCTTTATCATCCTTTACCATTTATTATGAATTCAATTCGAAATGTCAAGAATCATAGAAACCTCTTAATGGCTCAACATATTTTCTGGTTGCTCTGCATATTGTTTATAACATTTCTGGCACTTAAATACACTTTTATTATATCAGAGAGATTTTATACAATTATTAAATTTTTGTTACATTTTATCCTTTAACTCTTACTATTTCTTATCACATAATTGAGAAGACCAGATATTTTCTTCACATATTTCATATGAATGACTGCCCAAAATAATAACATTCACCACCAATCACTCGCTCAAATCTATTCCAATTAAATGGATATTTGATTTGTTTTCAATTCGACTTTTTCGCCACCATCAATAATACCTCATCACTTGCCTTAGATCTTGTATTGTCTCTACTATAGCCTGTCTCCGATGATGGTCAACCATTCATTTTTCTATTTTTTTAATTTCCATTTACTTTTTTAGAAGAGATCTTTTTTCATTTCTACTACCTCTGTCCGTTTAGTTGTTGTTACGGATATCTTTTATTTCAGCTATTTTGTTAACGGGGAGTTAGCAGATTCTTTGTCTCTACCCCACCATCATTTGGCAAGTGTGTGAGAGTGTGCGTGCGTGCTGTCGTCGCTTTTGGTCAGCACTTGATGGACGACGACGCATGAGTCTGCGCGGCGAATTCATTTCGCAGTTTCAAACATAAGCGTCGAATATATAAATTTCATAGCATCTGCTCGATTGATCATCATTTGTGCTTTGAACTTCTTGAGAGCGTCTTCGAATTAAAAATTTCAAAATTATCAACAACTACGACGAAACGCTTCTAAAAGAATAGAATTTAAATAGCATATTTAGAAAAAAAAGAAGATCGAGAAGAAAATTACGAATTCGTGCTTCACTTCAAGTGTTCTATTTTTGTGTTTTTGAGATCCAACAAAAAATTTATTCAAACCATACAAAATGGTAGGTGAAACAAATTTGTGAAAAAATGTGGACTTAAAATTGAAACAAAAATTATAAAACATATAATGGTGAAATATTGTGAATAAATATATTTTGTGGAAAACATGTGTCATAATTTGAAACACATTTAAAGACTGAAAAAACTGAATTTAATTGTTAAAAGCAATTACGTTTATAGTTGGCCGAACCGTTGAAGATATAATTATATATTTAAAATATATGAATAATATTTTCGTGTAACTTAGACAAATGCCTTAGTGTCCTGTGAATGGTCCTTTCATTTGAAAACTGCAGTTGTGGGAGAAAACTAACTTTTTAACACCCGTGCATAATTTTTATTAGAATTGATGATTGTGGCCAAAAATGTTTCTGAAATGAAAATTGCAATTGACTGACATACAAATATATTGGAAGGAAATTTCGTCTTTCGTATTATCGATAGGATTATGTGAAAAGGATATTTTGAACCCATAGAGTAAAATTAGAAAATTAAACGTTTATGATTAAAAATCCGAAAGGATGGATGAGTTGTATGCAAATTGTATCTCATCCTATGCCTAGGGTCAGATCAGAATGTTATATTAATATTTTTTCCAATATTAGTATTAGTAGCATTATTAACAATATGGGACAAAAGACTATAAAAAAAACTGGAAGGAAAAGCCAAAAGTCGGGCGGCTTTAGAGAAGTCATAGCTTGCTATAGAGTGCATGATATCACAATTCGGAAATTCACTTCATTGTTCATATTAGCCATTATTTGCACAATAAACCTGAAATCGGATTAAGGATACATATGGGACCTATATCCAAATCTTAACCGCTCTCCATAAAATTTTGGCAAAGGTATTTCTGAGCTTTATAAGATATGTGGTACCAAATATCATTGTTGTGGAAAGCATGTTACGAATGTAAGGGACTTAAATACCTGATTAGATAAAACAAAATCTGAACCGATTTTCACCAAATTTGATGTACTTGCTTCTAGATTGAATTTGGTCGGATGTGCCAAAATTTAGGTGATTTCGACTGATATTGTCTATTTGGTGCACAGTTAATCCGAAATCGGTTGAAATATATGGGAGCTATATACAAACATTGGCATTTCTAGGCTGTATCTGATATCTTACCGATTTATACCAAATTTGATGTACTAGTTAATAGAATGAATACTGTCGTAATTGTCAAAATTCAGTTCATTTGGGCTGATATTGGCCATTTGATGTACAATAAACCTGATATCGGATAAAGATATATGTGGGAGATATACCCTAATCTTAACCGATCTCGATAAAATTTGGCAGAGGGTTTTTTCGAGCCGTATTTGAAGTCTGGTACCAAATATCATTCTCCTGGAGTGCATATTACACATTTGAGGGACTTAAACCCCCGAATCGAATGAAACATATATATGGGAGTTATAGCTATATCAGGACCGACTTTGTCCAAATTTGATGTACTTGCTTCTAGACTGAATTCGGTTGGATGTACTAAAATGCAGGTCATTTGGCCTTATATTAGTCATTTGGTGCACAATTAACCCGAATCTGTTGAAGATATATGGAAGCTATATATAAATCTGATCCGATTATCACCAATTTCAATAGGGTTCGTCCTTGGGCCAAACAAATATTGTTTGCAAAATTCTATTTAAATCGGATAATAAATGCAACCTGCATTTGGTCACATGGACGTACGGGCAGACGGACTAACATGCATAAATCGATTCAGAAAGTGATTCTATGAAGATCTTCAAAAGTAACTATGGGTCTATCTAGCCTACTTCTTAATGTTACAAGCGAATGTACAAAGACATAATACCCTTACCACTATGTGGTGTAGGGTATAAAAAAGAGCACAGGCACAATCAATAGGAAAAAAATTAGTTTAACCAAAACAAATAAACATAGACTACTGTCGGAATGGGATGTCCTTGTGATGTGTCACCTTTGGAATAGAAAGAACGAATCCCTCAGTATATTGCGATACATAATTGTATTATCGTCGTAGACTCCATAAAGAATATATATACATGATCAGCATAAAATTCCAACGAATTTAATACAGTCCAGTTGGTATTGAAAATTGGGTATATCGGCCTAGCCAGATAACCATAGAATTGTCTAAATGTTTAATTTTAGACTCTCAATAGATAATGAGTAAAAATTTGTCTCTATAGGTTCCTGTTTTGGAATAACCCTCATATAACGGCTGATCCATTTTATTGGTGTTTAATTTGGTATTTAGATATCGTCATGGATAACAATTCCAATTACAGAAATTTGCTTCTTCAGTTCCACGTCTTCCTGCCATATAACTGCAGCTCCCTATATTCTATTTTTTGTGATTTTTGCTTCATTTGTCACCGGAATTATTTCAAATTTCAAATTTGGAGTTCGCAATGTCAAGGGCTTCTTATGACCGAAACTTGCCTGTGCAGATCCACATGTTCGAATAGCCACCACGTAACGGTACCTTCAGCATTTCTATGATGATGACATTTTTCAACACAATTATTCTAACTTAATACTTCGTAATAGGCACTGGCCTCTCTAGCAGATAATTGTCCACATTTTCTTATAGTCCCATATAACCGAAACACCTGATATTCGGAATTTTTAAAATGTTTGCGGCATTTCTCAACGGAATGTTTTTATATTCCTCAAGTTCCTTCAAAATGGTGGAGGATATTAACGGTTCGCCCCGTCGAAAATAGCTACTTTTTTACTTGTTTGATACATATTTTTTTGTATGAAAATGTCAATAGCCCAGGAACGAATTTCATTGTTTTATATCAATCGGTATCGATTCAATATCGATTGACAGGTCTTCTATAGACGGAAGATCTTTGACAGGTCTTCTATAGTTGAAAGATGGATGTGGATAGAAAACCTTTGACATGTCTTTTATAGGTAGAAGACCTTGGACAGGTCTTCTATGGATAGAAGACATTAGACAGATTTCGTATAAATAGAGGACCTTTGAGAGGTCTTCTGTGGATAGAAAACCTTTGACAGATCTTTTATAAATAGAGGACCTTTTACATGTATTTTATAGATACAAGAACTTTGACTGATCTTCTATAGACAAAAGGCCTTTGACAGGTCCTCTTAAAATTACCTTTGAAAGGTCTTCTATAGATAGACAGGTCTTCTTTAGATAGCAGACTTTTTTTAAATAGAAAATCTTTAATAAGACTGTAATTTGTATATGTTACACCTTTAAGAGGAATTCTATAAATGGAACATCTTTTACAAGAGTTCTTCGGGTAGAAGAACTTAAATCATTCTGGAATACACCTTCTTCTTTATCCTTCTTTGGATAAAGGACGTTTTGTAGGTTTTTTATGCATAAAGTAGCTTTCATGGGTCTACATTAAAAGTCAACCTATTTAAGAATAGATTTGTTGGTTATTTAAATTCAGACGTAACTGCCAAATATTTGCAAAGTTCTTCCGATAGAGACCTATTGAAATTTACTCGAAATTGTGTGTAAGGCAGTATATATATAATCCAGGCTTTCTAGTATTAATTTTAGGAAACTGTCCTATAACCTTCGGAATAAGAATGCCATTATAAAGTAATAATCATTTTTCATTGCTACATTCGAACTGAATTAAAAGATGCAGGGGAAGATATATTCCAAATGCCACGATTTACATCACTTAGAGATATGGCAGATCGAGAAGCTTGAAATTTTACTTGAGTTATTCTTTATGGTCGTATCTTCAATGCTTTAAGATGTTTCATATAAATATTCACATGTATATAATATTCAAGGATATTGAATGAATAGAGTTTTTATATTTCCTGCATGTAATATATTACAAAGGTAATGTTCTTCCGGTTTACGGTAGCAGAAATAATATTTTCATCATCATCGGAATATTTCCAGTTGAAATTAAGAATTTTTTAATAGTTTCTAAATATAAATCATGTTTTATTAAAAATACACCAAAACAATTTATTCTACCATATGTTAAAAATTCCAAAAATTAAAACATATGGCATATAATTTCTATATTTTATGTTATTATCAAGTTCCTATGCCATCAAACTAATTTATGCATTATATAATGAGAGAACCGATAAAATAATTTCGAAATCAAAATACCCACCCAATAGTTTACTGGAAATTCTAGTTGGGCTAGTTTAACATAAAAATTGTTCTAAGACTTGGTGTTTGGCTGTGACAGCGCATTTTTTTAAATTGGTTCTTAATGATTTTACGATTGTTGGTTGCTATGACATTTAGCCAATGACGGGCACATGCCAATTAAGAAGGGGGAAGTAAAACATAAAAACAAAAAAGCCAACATTAGTCTAGTTTTAAACAGGAAACTGGCTGAAAATTTTAATGCTGAGAAAAAATGGTTAAACATTTAATTTTAGGAGTTTGAAATGAATGAAATCTACAGTTTTACTTAACTGGTGAAATTTGAAGATGTAAAAAATAATATATTTTTTTTTATTTTGATGATATTATTATTAGAAATTATTCGATTAAAAATAAATAGATTTAAGCCATTAATCTATTTATTTTTAATAATATTTTTTTAAATATAAAAAAATACTAAAACCAAATAATCAAAAATAGTTCGGTATCTGCTGATTTTAAAGGTGTTCTTTATTTAAATTCTAAACTAAACTGGTGGCCCTTATAACAAATAGGGACTGATTAATTGTTTTGTACATTAATTAAAATATTTTTCTTCAAATTTAGATTATTTTTTTTTCATTTTCTTGTACAATTTATTATCGCGCTTATGCCATCAATTTTAGCTTAAATTTAGCTTAAATCAAAAAATAAAAAAAAAACACAATTATGGTTTCTCTCTAAAATATTAGTCCGAAAAAAAAGGCTTGAATTTTGCATAATTAATGCAAATCTTGTGTTTGCATAAATAATTAATGTTGAATGAAAGTGATTACGAATCAATTAGTGGAATATAAAACATTTGTCAAGGTAGTTAAATGCAGATTAGAAAATATTAAGACTTTTAATTAAAAAAATAATTTGTTTAAATGCGAACGTATGTGAATCGGAACTTGAAGAAGTCTTTTAAAAGTTTCGAAGAAGGAAATGAAATTAAAAAAAAATATTAGAAAAAAATATAGACAAAGTAGGTTAAGAAGGAAACCTTGAAAGGCTTCAGAAGTGCTCATCCATGGCCTATATAAGGTCGGCTAGAAAATCTATTTGACAACACAATTTGCTGTCAAAAACATATTGAGATTTTTAAATCAAATAAAGTTAAAAAAGAAAACTGAAAAGACAACTAGTCCGACTTTGTGTAAGCCTTGTGCTTATCTGCGGTTAGAATGTTCATTATCTTTATCCTCTATGGATAAAAGGTCATTTAGAGGTCCTCCACAATTTAATGACCACTTACAGGTCTACTATAGCCAGAAGACATTTTATCTGTTTTGTGGATATAATGCTTTTCACAGGCCTTCAATAGCTAAAAGATACATTAAACGAGTATACATTCGATAGGCCTCCTGTAGCTAAGTAGGATTTGATAGAGAGATGCGCTTTTAATGTGTTTCATGAGGAAGAGTCTTTTATAGGTCATTTGTAAAAAGAGGATCCATGCATGTCTTCCACAGTTAGAAGGCCTTTGACAGATCTTCTATAGATTTAAGACATTTGACGGGTCTTCTGTGGTTAGTAGACATTTAGCAGATTGTTTTTAAGCCGAAGACCTTTGACAACTCCTCTATAGACATAAGACCATTTATAAACAGTGGACTTTTTACAGGTCTTCTGTAGATAGACCACTTTTAACAGGTTACTGATAGAAGGCTTTTGACAGATTTTTTTTAAATAGAGAACCTTAGAGAGTTTTTCTATAGGTAGAAAACTTTGACAGGTATTCTATTGAAAGAAGCCCTTTTGACAGGTATTTTAACAGATATTTTATAGATAGAAGACCTTTAACAGGTCTTCCACAGATAGAAAACTTTTGACAGGTTTTCATTGGATAGAAGACCTCTCACAGGTCTTCTATAAATCGAGAATCTTTGGGAGGTGTCTATATCTGTCTATAAAGTTTAGACAGATTTCTTATAAATAGAGGACCTTTGACAGGGGTTCTATGGATAAAAAAACATCTTTGAATGGTCTTTTATAAACGGAAGACCTTTGGTCGTTCTTCTATGGACAGGTCTCCTACAGATAGAAGAATTTTACAGATCTTCCATGGATAGAAGACCTTAAACAGATTTCTTATAAATGGATAACTTTTGACATGTCTTCTGTGGATAGAAGACCTTTGACGGATCTTCTATGGTTAGAAGGCCGTTGATATGTCTTCTATGGATAGAAGACCTCCAACAGGTCTTCTATAAATCGAGAATCAGGTGTCAGGTGTCTATATCTGTCAATATACCGTAGATAGATTTCATATAAATAAAGAACCTTTGACAGATCTTCTATGAATAAAAAATCTCCTATGGATAAATCGAGGACCTTCGACAGGTCTTCTGGGGATAAAAGACCTTCAATGAATAGAAGACCCTAGACAGGTTTCACATAAATAGGGGACCTTTGGCAGATTTCCTGTGGATAGAAGACCTTTAACAGATATTTTATAAATAGAGGACCTTCGGTAGTTCTTCTATAGATAAAAGTAAAGTTTTACAGGTCTTCCATAGATGGAAGAACTTTGACAGTTCCTCTATAAAATTATGTTTGACAGGCTTCTATAGATAGACAAATCTTTTATATATTGATGAAATTTGGCAGGCCTTCAATAGGTAGAACATGTCGACAGGTCTCCTATAGATTGCAGACTTTTGACAGGGCTTCTTTAAATAAAAAATTGTTGATAAGTCTTCTGTATATGTCACATCTTTCACAGGACTTGTATAGATGGAGGACATTTTACAAGACTTCTACGTGTAGAAGATCTTTTGTAGTTCGTTTTTTTTTTTTGACCCAAAACTGATGGTACATTTTTTATAGGTAAAGAAAGAACTCTCTAGCTCTTTTAATAACAGAGAACTTTTTCAGCCTTTCTTTTTTCTATAGAATACCTTCACAAAAGTCTTATAGAGGTCCCCCATACATTGAAATTATTTTGGAGTACATCCATATTTTGAAGACAAAAAAGGGCCTTTTATGGCCTTCTTTGGGATAGAGGACGTTTAAGGGTTTTTCTACATAGGAGACCCGCGACAGGCATTTTGAAGATTTGCCCCTCGAACAAATTCTCCATTGATAGATGACCTCTATAAGAGACCTGTAGAAGGCTGATATCTACAGGGGACACATTTAAGGCATAAATCTTCAAATACCTATCGAGTGCTTCTCATCAGAAAATTGATTATTCCAATATAATTCTCAAAATTTTTGTGCTACTCAAACAGACCAAATATTATTTTCCACTTTTACAACTTTTTTTCGTCAAAAATGTATTAACCTCCATTCTTATTTCTTTTTAAATTACAGAAATTCCTTTTGGTTGCTTTCGCTTTGATTGGCATTGCCTATGCTGCTCTTCCCGATTCCGCCACCCAGGGACCCAATCCTCAGGATATCGCTACCCCAGAGCCAGAATACATTGATATTGATTTGCCCGAACCACCCAAGCCAGCTCCAGTACAGAGATCCTTCGCCGCAGCTGCTCCCGTTCAAAGATCCTTTGCTGCCGCTGCTCCCGTCCAAAGATCCTTCAGTGCTCCACGTATCTCGTTGCCACGTCCCGTGCCACAGCCAATTACCAACCACTTCACCGCCTCATCGAATGTCTTCCAACAACGTGCCGTTCCCCAAGGACATTCCTTCAGCCATCAATCTGGCTATCAATACAAACGTCCCGTCTATGTTAGACGTGCCCACTATTATCGTCGTGCTTAAGTAGTCATGTGTGGCTCGCACTGACATTAGGATCCTGTTTAAGAATGTTTTATTATTTGCCTGTAAAATATTAGTTCACCATTCACATAATCACCCGCACACGTACATACACGCCCATACACCAAGGACTCTCGGAGAGTGGACAAAGCGAAAGGAAAGAAGAATATTAAAAACACATCGTAGTCGACATTTGTTGTAATAAGTGTTAAGAATTTAGTTTGATTTTTCTTTTTTTTTTTTCTTAATTTTTTTATTTTGTTATTCTATTACAGCGATTCTGTTGCTGGAATGGGGCAAATATATCCTTGGGATGTAATGGCCTCTTAGCAACAGTGGCTGAAGTTTTAAAGAGACAAATGATGTGTATTTAATATTTGCAATTGTTTAGTTGAAGAGTTTGTTTTTCCTAGATTCATCGAATTTTTACACAAATTAAGTTGAAATAAATACATTATTTTATTTATAAAATAAAACATATGTTTTTTCATTCATGATCATTCAAAATATTGGCACGTTGTGGCTGAGGTACCAAAGGGAGTTGACCAATATATTTCATTTTTATACCCTCCACCTTGGAGAGGAGGGTATATTAACTTTGTCATTCCGTTTGTAATATGTCTAAATATTCGTCGTAGACCCCATGTATATACATTACATTCATAATCATCATAAAATTCTAAGTCGATTTAACGATGTCCGTCTGTCTGTCAGTTCGTCTGTCTGTCTGTCCCTCTGTCTGTCTGTCTATCTGTCTATCACGATACAGGCCACATTATTTGACGTAGTTCGTCAAAATTTAGCAGAATAATTTGTATTGTGTCTAGGGTGGTTGGTATTGAAAATGACATAAATCGGTTCACGTTTTGGTATAGTCCCCATATAGCGGTACCTCCCGATATTGGGTATTTTGATGATTCTGCCGAATTTTTTCATGAATTTGTCTAAAAATTGGTATTTGTTGGTCATAGTGGTTTCTAGCTGCGGTGGCGAAACATTGCATGCATAGGTCCACGTTTTGGTATAGCCCCCATATAGCGGTACACCTCGATATTCGGTATTTTGAGGATTTATGCCACATTTTTTCACGGATTTGTGTGAGAATTGGTATTTGTAGGTCATAATAGGTTCTAGCTCCGTTGGCGAAACATTGTATGTATAGGTCCACGTTTTTGTATAGCCCTAAATAGCGGTACCTCCCGATATTCGGTATTTTGATGATTTTTGCCACATTTTTTCACGGATTTGTCTGAGAATTGGTAGTTGTAGGTCATAATGGGTTCTAGCTCCAGTCGCGAAACATTGCCTGTATAAGTCCACGTTTTGGTATAGCCCCCATATAGCGGTATCTACCAATATTCAGTATTTTGCTGGTTTTTGTCACATTTTTTCACGGATTTGTCTGAGAATTGGTATTGTATGCATAGGTCCACGTTTTTGTATAGCCCTATATAGCGGTACCTCCCGATATTCGGTATTTTGATGATTTTTGCCACATTCTCCCACGAATATGTCTAAAAATTGGTATTTCTGGGTCATAATTGGTTCTACTGTTTCCATTACCCTAAGGTGGATGGTATTAAAAGTTCGGCCCGGCCGAACTTAATGCTTTTTTAATTGTTATACCAAATCTAGTGTTTGTAGAAATATTGAGGTGTGCAAATCGGACACTTATGTCGCATATGTGATGGAGGTAATTGATAGAGTAGACCGATATTGTTCATTTTCGCACCTGACCTTATACTTCTAAAAATATTGAGATTTGCCAAGTTTTCACAAAATCGAATGATCCTTTCTCTTTCTATGAGGTGAAATATTTACCTTTTTACCTTTTGTGGGGGAGGCATCAGAAGGGGTGGGCCAATCTTGCCCATCTCCGAACACTATCTTATATTGACAATAATATTGCAAAGTACTAAATTTGGAGCGAATCGGATAATCCCTTCGGGAGTTCTCGTGCGCACCAGCCAGCCAGACAGATAGACGGACTGACACTTCTAGAACAACTTCAAATGTCCTGAAATGGAGTCGGTTCAAAGAGATCTAGAGTAAAAAAAACTTCATTTCGATAAGGCACGTTTTGGCCGTATTAAATAATGTGTACCCTCTCTAGACATATGGCTGAGGGTATAAAAATGAAATATATGTGAGGTCTTCTTCAAAATTTCTACCAAAAGGTGAAAGTGCACTGCATGTGCATTATGTACCTGATTTTTTCAAACATCGTATCTTCATGTTAATCAAGTGCGATATTGTCCCACTCCGCTACACATGATCAACATTTTGAAAAGTACAATCGAATCAAAGGGAGCTCACGACTACGTCTAAATTTTTTTTTTAACCCCGAAGTATTTGTCAGTTGCGAAATTTTAATTCAGTTTCTGCTTCCAACAAACGTTGCAAATTCAAATAAATCTGTCGAAAAGTTGCTAACGTCGGATGCATATGTTTACTCCCTAAAGTTGGCCCCCTCAAAAGGCAAAGAAAGTATCCACTTTGAGGCGAAACTACGAGTAACTGTCAAATTTGTCGTGAGTAAAAATAGAAAACGTATCCCATAAAAGATTGATAAAACTCAGAAAAATGAAAAATTAAGTAACTGCAGAAAAATTTAGGTTATTACGAAAGTGGAGATAACAGCTAAAAAAGATGTAAGTACGGCCGAATTTTTGATTTTCAAATTTGATTTCCAATGTCAAAATGAGGACATTAATCAATTTTTTTTGGTAAGACAATCAGACTCTCATTAGAAACTGAAAAAAAAAAAATGGAAAAAGCCATCAGAATACCGAACAAAGGGCATTACGGTTATATGGGATGTATACCCCAATATGGATCTAAATTATTTGTTTTTTTTATAATATCAACTTCCAAACAATTCCATAGAAAAAATGTTCCACTAATCGTCGAAATGCTTTAAATGGGGGGTACCGTTATAAGGCGGCTATACGACCCATATATCCATCAGAACTATGGCCTTTGAACTTGATCTAAGTTCAGAGCTAAGAACTTTATTGTGAACACGTGTAAAGTCATTGACCTCAGAAAATATTCCTAGATATTTCTTAAATTCCAAGTAAAGCTAGTTTCATTACTCATTTTTTTATGTTTAAAAGTTGGCCACCTTTTGTGTGAATATTTCTTTTTGCAATGATGTGATAAATATTAAATTAATAACTTTTTTTGCAACCATGTTTATAATTAAATTAACACAGACACATTAAACTGTGTGACATTGATATCTGAACTATAAATATAAGTCCAATGGATGTTACACAAAATGTGTTTTGAAACAATACACCGCGAGTAATCGTATAGAATGTGATAAAGAATAAAAATTCGTTGCCAACTTAAGGTTCTCAGTCGATGTCTGTCCGGATAATATACACTGATTGCCGTACGTAGAGCTTTCGATAAAAGAGTTTACTACAAATGGGCCATATCGCAGAAATTTTCTCAGCATTCGGATCCCCTTATTCTCGTATCTCCCCACAATATAACCCATATATTCAATTATGAAAACTCTCATAAGACGTGAAATCATTTGTTCTGTTTTCTATCATATTTTTTGCAATACTAGACCTCATGTGAATATGCTCCACATCGGCATACTCGTTCAACGGAGTGTTAAAGTAGGTAAAATTTTTGTATATACAGCTTCGCGTAACCGGTCCGTAGTTTTAATCTTTAATGATTACTTTTTAAAAAATAATAATTAACAGATGTGGCTCATATTAGTGGACCTGGGAGGTAAAATTTTATGGGGACTATACCAATATATATACCTAATTTGAAATAATTCTGTGTTTTTATAATTTTACGGTATTTCAAATTTTTAGCCAAATCAATTTGAAATGTGGAAAGCTGAAATAAGGGGATCCCTCCATATGACGTTCATACCAAATGTGGGCCTATATTGATAATTTTTTGCAAAGATGGTTTTTTTTTACTAAGAACTCAAATCACTAAAATTTGCCGAAAGTAGTATGACCCATTTCAGAGTGCTGCCTTTACAAAGTCACTCGTCCGACAGCTGTTAAAATTATTCCACTGACAACTCATTATATTGTTTACAAGGGTACAAAAGCATTTTGGTGAGAATTTTCTAGAAAAAAAGTTATTCGTGATGGAATTCAAACGTGATAGTCTGATTTCTACATATTTGGCTTGAAAACCACAAGTGGACTTCGTTAGAGCATTCCAGCATTTAAATGTGAATAAATCGTTTGTGTCTCGTACCATCGCTCGTTACCGTGATACTGGTAGCGTAGCCCGACGTCAAGGAATTGGACGGAAGAAAACAGCAACATCAGTAAAAATGGTTCGAAAAGTAAAGAAGCGACTTGATCGAAACCCGCGTCGCAGTGGCCGAAAAAAGGCTCGTGAAGTGAACGTATCGCAATATTCCATTCGGCAAATATTGAAAGATTAGCTCGGGGTAAAGCCATTGAAATTCCAAAAAGTGCAAGAACTTACACCGCAACAGAGAGAAAATAGACTCAAAAGAGCTAAAGAGTTGATTCGCTTGGCCGAAAACGGTGAACTACCGAAATTGGTTTCCTCCGATGAGAAAACATTTGTTGTCCAGCAGTTTGTAAACAAACAAAATGATTGTGGTTACTTGCCAAAGGTGTAAGCTGAAAATGTGCACCTTCGGTTGGCCACCAGAACTCAAGAGCCGGCCATGGTGATGGTGTGGGCCGCCATAACAGCCGATGGTCGCTCTCCGCTCATATTAATCGACCGTGATATCAGAATAAATGCCGAATTTTATCGCCAAAATATTCTGGATGGTGTATTAAAGCCTTGGGCACGCAAACATTTTGGCCTCAGACCTTGGACATTCCAATAAGACTCACCACCATCGCACTCAGCACGCACCACCCACGATGGGTTACAAAAAAAGGTTACTCGATACATTTTCAGCGCACAATGGCCACCAAAATTTCCGTCCACTTCGTTGGACTATTGTGTCTGAAGTATTTTGGAAAGCAAGGTTGGCACTAAAAAATACCAAAGTGTCGATCACCTCAAGCAAGCGCTTCGCCAGGAATGGACCAAATTACCGAAGAGTAATATTCGGGCAACGTGTGACGGTTTCATTGTCCATAATTCGTGCCAAATGTGACCAATTCAAACAAATCTAAACTTATTCTAAAATTTGATGCTACTTCCGACATTTTTTTGCTTTCATTCAATAAAATTTAAAACCAATGTACAAATTATGGCGTTTGACTTTGTTGCCGTTTTTTATCTCACCCTGTATGTCCCAGATTACATCACAATTCTGAATCTTAAGTAAACTGCAGGTAATATGAAATATTAAATGTGAAAATTATATTTTAGGCTTAAAGTCGTATCTCATGTGAGTTTATACAAACTTCTCCTACAGAAGGATGACGTTAAAGTCAATATTATGCCTCATTAGATTTCAATATAGGTCAC